CTTTGGTGTCAGACATAATGGTTCCCTAACCTTTATACAAGTCTCTCTCTGAACAATGTATTTAGAACGGTCTGACCTTTGGCAAACTACTCACCTGCATATTTCTTTGATTCAGCACACCTTTGGAAAATATAGTTGAATGCCTGCCATTCAGAACCTCACAATTTTACAAGTAATATAGACTTTCACAAATACTTCAACAGAAACTCTGGCAGGTCACTGCAAAATATTTGAAGCTATGTTATCTTTTTTAATTAAACTTTCACGTTCCATAGATTCCAAGATATCAGAATCAGAATCATTTTTATTGCCAACGTAAGTAACAGGAGGTCACAGACTTGGAAATTGCTTTGGCTCAGTGCAACAGTCAAAAAGAGATAATAAAAATAAGAATAAAAAACACTTCTAAGAATAAATTTAAATTTAAAATAGAGTTACAGTTACAGTTACTATTTACATTGTTGCAGTCAGCCTTTATAGGGCTTAAAGATTGTTTTCTTATGGTTTTACAATTTATTGAAAGAGATGATGGCAAAATCACCTTTTATAATGACATGTGCTTAATGGTTGCTATAGGTGAAGTGACAAAACATGAAGTAAACTAGGGCTAAATTCAACGTTGTAGGTTTTATGCAGAGGTTAGACCTTCCTCTCGGTTTAATTTACTAAAGTCATTAAAGAGTCATCACTCATCATGATCATACTTGACATGTACTAGTATGATTTTAAATACAAGATTTCCATTTAAATGTTTTGCCATCGAGGGGCGATTATTCCAACTTCACCTCTGGCTGAAAAGGCTTTTCTAGTTCTGCTTGTGTTACTGATTTAAATATAGCTCTTTCATTTGCATAGATAAGTCTAACAGCTATAATTCCTACAGGATGACTATTCTAACAGTGATCTTTAATGTGTTGTACTGTATAGATTTTGAGATGGAGACATTTTGTCTAAATCACTCAAATACCAACAGAAAACAAATGACAATTATTTAAAATGATGATCAAAAGGCAACTGTTATCATTTAGAGTGCAGAGAGCTTTCAAAAACATATTTTTCAGAATCCAAATGGTAGGAACATCTGAAGCGGGCTGCTATCTTTGTAACTCCAGATCAAACATGTTAGAACACTTTGAAAGAAATGCTGAGCTGGAGAGAACATCTGTTTTCAGGAACAAGATACATCTGTCACAAAAAAGTATTGAACTCCAGTCTTTAATAGTTTGCCAAGGTCTTTTGACAAAAGCTAACCATATTTTGGTGTACACAAAGAAAAATGGCGTGGAAAATGATTAAAGTTGGTAGGGTTTGGAGCGTACAAAATGACCAAATGTGAAAAAACAGGATTCACCGTGAAGTGCTTGTGTAGCTCCATGTTTGTGCCCCGCTATGCAGTTCTATGGGCAAAACACTTATTCAGTGCTTGATAAATAGCCACACCAGTGTTTCTCCAACTGCGGTGTATGTACTGTTCGTTCTGATGGTTCAATGATCCAAATGCAGTTACTTATCTGATGTGCATAATTCATTTTATTCTCAGAAGCTCAGCAGGACAGGGTCTGGTTTGTGCTGTAATGGGAGACCTCAGTGGGACCTGGTGTCACCTTGTACAAGTCTGGCATGTGTGTGAAGGCTTGGTGGTGGTTAGATGGGCCAATGTCTGTCCGCAGTGGCTAATATACGCCACAGAGAAAGGAGTGAATAATGCCATTTCAAGTGTCATATTAGTAATATTATTATAATCAACAACAATATTATTAATTATAACAATAATTCCATTTATGGGCGTCAGTGGCTCAGTTGGTAGAACATTAGTCTTTGAGCCTGAAGATCGTGGGTTCGAGCCCACCATGAGACCACTGATGACTGCTGTCGTTGTGTCCTTGGGCAAGACACTTAACCCCACTTTTCAGGGGGCCTGAAGCCCCCGCTGAAAGATACAGGCTATGCCATAGAGCAGCCATCCTCCTGTGGACTCACCACCTGCAGGAGGACCAGTGAGGGGCTGGTGCTCTGTGTACTGGGTCTGACTGCCACCCCCCAACCCAGAAATTGATTAAGGGGTAGAAAATGGATGGATGAATGGATGGATAACAATAATTCAATTTCATTTTAATTCATTTTATTTTTCCAAGTGATTTAGGTCTATGCAAAAATATAATGAATAGTCGGAGGACGTTGTCAATTCGCCAACAACAGATCAGAGAATCAAATTGATCAAACACAGGAAATGCGATGATAAAGAACACATATAGCCAGTGGGGGAAAATGAGAAACTTCGGGTAGGCCCTCCGCTCCCACGGGACGGATGGTCTGTAGATCCTGGAATCAGGCCGTAGAATGAGGACCAAGGCCACCCAATGCAGGACTGAGGTGACTCCCAGGCTGGGAGGGGGTGCAGTCCACATGTCCGGGCTGTCTACAGTCCACAGGTGAGATGAAGGAGGCTGGATTCAGGGTTCCATTATCACGCCATGAAACAGACAATGGGATGAATATTGGGTGAATAGCAATGAACAGCCGAAACTATAATGATGACAGATAAAGTAGGAAGAGGAGAGGATAATGCTCAATATTATTATCCATCCATCCATTTTCTTCCCCTTAAAGGAGCTATAAACGTTGGTTTCTGCAAGGTTTTTTTCAGTTTGAATGTTTAGCATCACCCCCCAACTTCTCATTTCCCCTACGCTCTCCTCCCACAGAGCCATCTAGTTTAAACATTAGCATTAGCGTAACTTCTTGTAAGCTGTACAACAATCACTGATGTAATGGTACAGAAGCAACGCTCTAACAAAATATATAACTGAAAGATTACCGCTAGTTTTGCGTCCAAATGTAGTTCGAGGCGGTCCCGCATATAGACTGTAATCTCTCCAGAGGATACGATGTAAGCTAACGCTACATATATTCACCCGGGCTTGATTTCTTTGATAATTTTTTTCGCTTTAGTTCCCTTTTCTCTTCCACACTGCTGCGTCTTTTGGGCAGTTTTGCTGTGTCTGCAGTTACAGCAAGAGGAGTTATAGCCAATTCTGCTAACATGCTACTGTGTTAACCAGCGCTGTAGACGCTAGAGGACGCAGGCTGTTCGTAACGGCGCCGCTCCTCGATCTGTGAGTGTAGGAGAACTAGCGTCACGCTAAGTTTCTACTCAGCACTTTCTACGGCCTGAATTTTATACACAAGCTGAATCAAGCTCAAGTTTTCAATTAAAATACGAATTTTAATACAACTTGTAATACGCATTTTTATGAACTCATTAGAAAATAATTCGGGTATAGCTTCTTTTACCCATTTCTGTATCAGGGGGTGGCAATGCACCCAATTCACTGAGCATCAGCCCCACCTGATCCTCCTGCAGGTGTTGAGTCCACAGGAGGATGGCTGCTCTAGTCTGAGCTGCCTTGATCTTTCAGTGGAGGCTTCAGGCAAAGTGGGGTTAAGTGTCTTGCCCAAAGACAACACGACAGCAGACATCAGTGGGAGTTGTTAAGTAGGTCTTGTGGTGAAATCGAACCCACAATTTTAAGGCCCAAAGGCTAATGCTCTTTCAACTGAGCCGCTGCCACCCAAATATTATTATTATTATTTTATCAATATTGATTATGTACTATTAAGTCCTATTAAGTCCAGATTAAGTCCTATTCCAGGCCTAGTTTATAGGGGGAAAGTAAATTTAGAGTGACAAGGGAACCCTTTAGGATGTTGTTTCAGATATTTAATGCAAAAAAATAAAAACATCTGATAAAATATGTATTTAAAAAAAAGTCTAGAGAAACATTTTGCTGTATAGAAAGTGGCTGCAGGGTTTTCTATTAACAGGAAACATTTCAGACAATTCAATCTTGAGTGTGGGGAACATTCATTGTCTAAATTTCAACAAAACAAGGTATTTGTAACTGCCAGATTTTAGAATTGCTGCTCAGTCAATACTAGTTGCCTGCATTGAAACCGTGAAATGTTGATCCCGCTGTCTCTTTTTGGAATTAAATGAGTTTATCCGTCAAGTATAAATGTATAGGATTAAGAGCACCGTGACGCGCACAAAGAGGATCTCATGGCACGGTTTGAAAAACGGCCATGAATTATTCGGGCTGTAACCTGTATTCTCAGCAGGGATGAGTCTTTTTTTAGTCCGTCGGCCCTTAGCAGGTGAGCCAAAAGTTAATTTCAGACACTGCACAGATGCCTCGCTGTGCACACAGGGCACGGCGATGCTGGGGCCAAAACCGCTGACACAGACACCCGACCGAAGTGATCTATCAGCGGCAGAAGGTTGGAGAAGGTTGAGGCAATCACACTGTCTCATTTCCTTCAGTCTACCAGCGTCTCCGTGCTGTCAGTTTGCCTCTCCTCCTCCTCACCCTCCACCCGCCTCTTGCTTTTCTTCCCTTTCCTCATAAATGAATCATCACGCGGCGGCCAGCAGAGCAGAAATGTTCCTTAATTGCACCGGCACGTCTTCCTCACGCACAGGTCGGCCATGCTAAAGCGACGGGCTATAATGGCAAGAGCCGCGTGTGTGTGGCTGGTATGTGCGCTGTCACTTTGGCTCAGCGTTAGAGGCCTATGCATCCCCTCTTTTTCTCACACGCTCACTGCTTTTTCATTGTTGCCTCTGCCTTGTCGTCCTGATGTAATGATTTAGATCAGATGGTGCTGTGTGGAATTAGGCACCACACTCCTCCTCCTCCCGCTCGTCTCGCACTGGCCCTGGGCTGACAAGCGTCTCGTTAGTGCAGTATGTCTGTCAGTGAGCCTCCAGATTGAGTTGTGCCCCCGCATATCCCCTGATCTATTTTTTTTTTTGTACCACAAACACCCAGATTTGATGCCGGCTCTGAAAACACGAGCCTTGCCTTTCTCCGGCCGCTCTAACGATCTGATGTCCCGCACTTTAAGATGTCACTGTAATGGAAGTGTTATTTTTGTCCCGAGCAGAAAAAGACCACCATTTTGCTGAAAATTGTTATTCACCCCTCTTTTTCTGGTGTCAGGTGGAGATCAAGATGAAAAAGGCCGATGCCATCAGATGGGAGAAGCTGGAGGGAGAAGGACAGGACTCCAACATCAAACACTTCAATCCCCGTCAGTCCACAGCTTCAGCATTTTTACTCCTTCTCTTTGCTCTCATATCTGTCAGACTCTCTCTGTGTAAAGATCAATATGAGCTCCGGCATTTGTCTGCACCACGCTCCTAAAATGAGAGTGGGCAGTGGAGCTCTGCTGGGCTCTTTCATTAGGCTGACAGTAAATGTTTGCGTGAAAGGTGAAAGGTACGACGTCCCGTTATGACTCAGTGTTTTTGCCCACGTTTCCATCACTGACTAGATTAATTACTAATATAAATGTGTGTTAAAGCAGCAGCAGCGGCAAAGGAAGGAAATCAAACGTTATGTGGGTAGATGTTTGAGAAATGGTGGTTGGTTTGGACGGAAGAAGCAGTTAATCACAACACTGTTTGCTGTAGGATTGTTCGATGTGTGATTTTATGGGAAAGGAGAGCAGTATGTCCACGGCTGGCCTCAAAACGTCGACCACGAGTCAACAGCTTTATTTATGTAAATCTGTGTCTGGATTACTCTCTGTTTGCAGCTGATGATTCCAGTCGTAGTCCCTGTATTATACCGTGTAAGCCAGTGGCTCTCAACCAGAGTTGAACCAGTTCAGATTTAAAAGAATGGTGTAATTAATGTTATTAGAATAGAATAAGTTAGTAAGTGATTTCTGGAACATTTCACCTTCTTATTGATAAAACAAAACATAAAGATGTAATGTGGCTGAAACATCAGATGACTATATAACGGCAAGGCAAGGCAAGGCAAGTTTATTTATATAGCACATTTCATACACAAGGCAATTCAAAGTGCTGAACAAAACAAGAAAGCATTAAAATCATAAATTATCACAGAACATTAAAAAGAAAGATAAAAATATAAAATCCCTCAGTTGTATGCACAGTTAAACAGAACTGTCTTTAACCTGGTTTTAAACATTGTCAGAGAGGAGGCCTGTCTCACATCTTCAGGAAGACTGTTCCAGATTTTAGCAGCATGAATCTGAAAAGCAGCCTCCCCATGTTTAGTTCTGACTCTGGGCACTAACAGGAGTCCAGTCCCTGTGCTCCTCAGAGTCCGGGCTGGTTCATATGGGACTAACATGTCACTAATATAGTTTGGTGCGAGGCCATGGAGAGACTTGTACACAAGCAGAGCTGTTTTAAAGTCTATTTTCTGAGCCACAGGAAGCCAGTGCAGAGACCTGAGAACTGGACTAATGTGGTCGTACTTCCTGGTTCTAGTCAGGACTCGAGCTGCTGCATTTTGAATGTACTGCAGCTGTTTTACAGCCTGTTTGGACAGACCTGTGAGCAGCCATTGCAGTAGTCTAACCTACTGGAGACAAATGCATGGATAAGAATCTCCAGGTCTGCTTTAGACACTATGTTTTTGATCCTGGCAATGTTTTTTAGATGGTAAAAAGCTGCTGATGTTACTGATTTGATGTGGCTATTAAAATTTAAGTCTGAGTCCAGTATTACCCCTAGATTTCTGACCTTGTTTGAAGGTTTTAGGGAGAGAGACTGTAGGTGACAGATGACGCTCTCTCTTTGTTTCTGGGGACCAAAGACAATCATTTCAGTTTTGTCTGCGTTTATCTGAAGGAAGTTGTTTTGCATCCACTCACTGATCTGTTGGATACAGTGAAGGAGTGAGTCCACTGGTCCATGTTCTCCTGCAGTCAGTGAGACATAGATAACGGGAAGCCGTTGGATCTTTCAGCCACGTTACATCTTTACAGTGGCTCAAATGGGGCTGGTGGGATAAACATTTGGACTAATAGACCCAATGGACTAATGAAGGGATGATTATGAATGAATAAATGAATGTAGGTCAAATCTTCATCTGCTACTTTCAGATTTTGCTTTTTACCTCCATCAGAGGGTATCAGGGTATTTCTGTCTGTATTGGCAACATAACCTTTAATGACATTTTCAAAAGTGCTTCTTTTAACAAGTTAAACTACTCCTCTTGGTAGAAATCTGTGCTCAACAAGTCCTTTTCGAGTAGTTTTTTTTAGTTAAGCGCTCTCTTCCAAGTCTCCGTCTTCTACAAATAAGATACAATTTCCGATGTAATATAAACCCAGTTTTAGAAAGTCTAAAATGGTGGCTGTCCCCATTATTTAAGTAGTCAGTGTGTAAAACTCCAGAGGTAGAAACATGGTGATGGCAAAAATGTACAAACTTTCTTATATGTTAGATAAACTTTTTTTATTCTGATGCCCCTGATTTATCAATGCATATGAAGCCCATGCAGTCCTGATTACCATTACCCACAATACTTCCGTAGTTGACCAGTCAGAATGTGTTGGCCAATACTAAAGGTGACTAAAGTAGGCTCAACTTTTGAAACGAAATAATTTCTTGTGACTAACGGCTGTTTTAAAAACCTTTCCTCTTCTCAGACGAGTACCCGTCGTCGTCCACCTTCAGTCAGAAATGGGACAAAATGGTGGTGGACCTCAGCGAAGAGGAGAAGAGTGAGAAGCTGGAAGGAGACGCAGCCCTGAACCAGCTCTTCCAGCAGATCTACACCGACGGCTCAGACGAGGTCAAGCGAGCCATGAACAAGTCCTTTGTGAGTACAATACGACAATATCAGTTTTGTCTTCACCGCAAACCCACTGTGAGCTTGAAGATGATGTATATCCTTGAGCAAATACTCTGCACAACAGAAACATCTTCAGTACTGCGCGACATGACCTTAGGTCAGTTATTTGATAAATGTATATTGAAATATAGTTATTTTAATGCAGTGAACATTTGAGGTCAAACTGAGGTCAGAATTTTTTTTTATGAAAATCCTTTTATCAAATCAAACACTTCAACCTTTTTAAATCAGTGAGAAATACTACAAGTATTGAATCAACCCGTCTGTGTTTCCATAGACGGTTCAGACACTTGTGTGTGTAACCTGAAAACACACAAAACTGATTATGTAATTAGCAACTGTTTGGTTCCATCACTAGTTTGCACATACAGTGCCTTGCGAACCTTTAAACATTTTGCCACATTTCAGGCTTCAAACATAAAGATATACAATTTTAAATTTTTGTCATGAATCAACAACAAGTGGGACACAATCGTGAAGTGGAACGAAATGTATTGGATAATTTAAACTTTTTTAACAAATAAAAAACTGAAAAGTGCAATATTATTCGGCCCCTTTACTTTCAGTGCAGCAAACTCACTCCAGAAGTTCAGTGAGGATCTTTGAATGATCCAATGTTGTCCTAAATGACTGATAAATAGAATGCACCTGTGTGTAATCAAGGTTCCGTATAAATGCACCTGCTCTTTGAGGACCAGGCAGGTCCGAGATACTGTTGTGGAGAAGTTTAAAGCCGGATTTGGATACAAAAAGATTTCCCAAGCTTTAAACATCTCAAGGAGCACTGTGCAAGCAATTATATTGAAATGGAAGGAGTATCAGACCACTGCAAATCTACCAAGACCTGGCCGTCCCTCCAAACTTTCATCTCAAACAAGGAGAAGACTGATCAGAGATGCAGTCAAGAGGCCCATGATCACTCTATATAAACTGCAGATAACTACAGCTGAGGTGGGAGAGTCTGTCCATAGGACAACAATCAGTCGTGCACTGCACAAATCTGGCCTTTCAATCAATCAATCAATCAACGTTTATTTATAGAGCGCCTTTCCTACACAAGGCAACGCAAAGCGCCTCACAACCCATATAACATCATGCATAAATCATCAAACATTAGAATTTAAGTAAACATAAAAAGACAGATTAAGAGCACAAGATATATAAAATCACACAAGTAGTTAAAAACCGTAAAAAATTAAAATCACACAAGGGATTACAATCATAAATAATCATAAATAATCATAGCGCATTAAAAAGATTAAAGATAAAAACAAATGTAAAATCATTCACTTGTATGCACAGCTAAAAAGAACTGTTTTCAGTTCAGTTTTAAAAATTGCTAGAGTAGACGCCTGTCTCACACTCTCGGGAAGACGGTTCCAGACTCTAGCTGCATGAATCTGAAACGCAGCCTCCCCATGTCTAGTTCCGACTCTTGGCACTAACAGAAGTCCAGTCCCTGTGCTCCTCAGAGCCCGAGTTGGTTCATATGGCACCAACATGTCGCGGATGTACCCTGGTGCGAGGCCATGGAGAGACTTGTACACAAGTAAAGCTACTTTAAAATCTATTCTCTGAGCCACAGGAAGCCAGTGCAGAGACCTGAGGACCGGACTAATGTGGTCGTACTTCCTGGTTCTAGTCAGGACTCGAGCTGCAGCATTTTGGATGTACTGCAGCTGTTTTACCGCTTGTTTAGAGAGACCTGTGAACAAGCCATTGCAGTAGTCCAATCGACTGGAGACAAATGCGTGGATAAGAATCTCCAAGTCTGCTTTAGACACAATGTTTTTAATTTTAGCAATGTTTCTTAGGTGGAAGTAAGCTGATGATGTCACAGATGATATGTGGCTATTGAAATTCAAGTCTGAGTCCATTATTACTCCTAGATTTCTGACCTGAGTTGAGGGTTTCAGGGAGAGAGACTGGAGGTGGCAGATAACGCTCTCTCTTTGTTTCTGAGGTCCGAAAACAATAATTTCAGTTTTTTCTGTGTTTAGCTGGAGAAAGTTATTTTGCATCCAATCACTGATCTGTTGGATACAGTGAAGGAGCGAGTCCACTGGTCCATGTTCTCCTGCTGTCAGGGACACATAGACCTGAGTATCGTCAGCGTAATTGTGATAGGACACGTTATTACTGTGTATTAACCTACCCAGAGGCAGCATGTAAATATTAAACAGGAGAGGCCCCAGGATTGAGCCCTGTGGCACTCCGCAGGTCAGGGCCAGATGGTCTGAGACACAGTTTCCGATCTCCACAAAATACTTTCTGTCCTGTAGGTAGGATATAAACCAGCTTAGGGCTGTTCCAGAAACACCAACCCAGTCCTCAAGTCTCTGAATGAGGATACCATGATCGACAGTGTCGAAAGCAGCACTCAAATCTAACAGGATAAGAACTGAGACTTTTCCTGCGTCAGTGTTAAGTCTGATGTCATTTGTTACCTTCACTAGAGCGGTCTCTGTGCTGTGGTGGGGTCTAAAACCAGACTGGAACATATCAAAAGAGTGATTGATTATTAAAAATTCTGTAAGTTGGTGATAGACAACTTTTTCTAGAATTTTACCCATGAAAGGCAGATTTGAAATGGGCCGATAACTTTTAAGTGCCAAGGCATCCAGACTCCTCTTTTTTAGGAGGGGTCTGATGACTGCCGTTTTCAGGGCCATTGGGAATGTTCCAGATTCAAGAGACATATTTACTATATGCGTGAGTGAAGGTAAAAGACTGCTCAGAACAGATTTAAGAAATCTAGGAGGTAATACATCCAGGCTACATGTAGAAGAACTCAGACTTGTAATTATCATTTGGACAGTTTCATTTTGTACTGGTGTAAAGTGTGTCAGCCCAAAAAGCTTCACTGGCTGTTGGATTGTAATTTCTACTGTGGAGGTGATGGCATTTATGAAAGAGTGGCAAGAAGAAAGCCATTTCTCAAAGATATCCATAAAAAGTCTTGTTTAAAGTTTGCCACAAGCCACCTGGGAGACACACCAAACATGTGGAAGAAGTTTTTGGCCACAATGCAAAACGATATGTTTGGCGTAAAAACAACACAGCTCATCACCCTGAACACACCATCCCCACTGTCAAACATGGTGGTGGCAGCATCATGGTTTGGGCCTGCTTTTCTTCAGCAGGGACAGGGAAGATGGCTAAAATTGATGGGAAGATGGATGGAGCCAAATACAGGACCATTCTGGAAGGAAACCTGTTGGAGTCTGCAAAAGACCTGAGACTGGGACAGAGATTTATCTTCCAACAGGACAATGATCCAAAACATAAAGCCAAATGTACAATGGAATGGTTCACAAATAGACGTATCCAGGTGTTAGAATGGCCAAGTCAAAGTCCAGACCTGAATCCAATCGAGAATCTGTGGAAAGAGCTGAAGACTGCTGTTCACAAACGCTCTCCATCCAACCTCACTGAGCTCGAGCTGTTTTGCAAGGAAGAATGGGCAAGAATTCCAGTCTCTCGATGTGCAAAACTGATAGAGACATACCCCAAGCGACTTGCAGCTGTAATTGCAGCAAAAGGTGGCGCTACAAAGTATTGGCGCAAGGGGGCCAAATAATATTGCACGACCCACTTTTCCGTTTTTTATTTGTTAAAAAAGTTTAAATTATCCAATAAATTTCGTTCCACTTCACGATTGTGTCCCACTTGTTGTTGATTCTTGACAAAAAAAATAATTTTTATATCTTTGTTTGAAGCCTGAAATGTGGCGAAATGTTGAAAGGTTCAAGGGGGCCGAATACTTTCGCAAGGCACTGTACATGTACTTTGGCCTGTGTCACATCTTTACATCAGCTAGGGAAGTGAAAAACAGAGGATGACCCTCTTTCAGCCAATCAGCTCTCAGTATGTAAACAATAACGTGTTTTCTAATAAGATAATTAAGTAAGTCATCTTTATTTGTATACCGCCTTTCACAGACCAGAGTAACAAAGCGGTTTACAATTGTTATCTTTGGGCATTTAACCGCTTATTGTGGTCTGATTTCACAAAATTTACTACATAATTTTCTCAACAGTCTTATTTAAGTATTTTTCAAACAAAAACATTGCTATTGCCGCTGTAATGGCTCTATTGAGCAAGAACCAATGTGTGGTCTCTCTGCAGATGGAATCGGGCGGGACAGTCCTCAGCACCAACTGGACAGATGTCGGAAAAAGAAAAGTTGATATGACTCCTCCAGACGACGTAGAGTTTAAAAAATACTGATCTGTTCTTGTGTGTTTCTTTGTCTATTTTCTCTCCTTTTCCGCTCAGTGCACCTGAAATTAGCAGCTCCACGGTTGATTGGTTCTGCTCTGAACCAAAACACCGTGGCCTGCCCTTGGCCAGCAGGGGTCACATCATTTGAATAATCACTTCAGGAGATCCGTTTGCATGATTTGCGTTCTGATGGTTTTTCTAACGGACGAGAACAGACGGAAATAGAAAATATTCTCCCGCTGCCTTTCTACTTTGAGCTATTTCCCACACATTATATCAGCTCTTGTAAAAATGTAATATTGAGATTATCTGTCTGATTTCTTGGCTCTTTTCCTTTCTCGTCACATTGTTGATCACCACCCGTTACTCATCCAAGATTTTGGTGCAAATAAAATTAACCAAATTTTGATGTTTGGCTCAAAGTCTTTTTTTGTTTCGGGGTTTGTTTGCTGTGGAAGCGTTTTCGAAGCAGTCAGGAAGTCTGGGAATGGATCCATCTGACACAAAACACTGGTGTATCACAGCGAGAGCCGTGCTGAGTGATTATGGTGCTGGGAGGGATGAAATCTGGCGTTACTGATACGACTGCTCGGTGGAGATATGGGTGGCAGCTTTGGGAGGGAGTTTATGAATCATTGTCCGATCTTTATCTCAGGAGCACTGCTTTGGCACGAGGACACTGCTACAAAAATATCTTTTAAATTCACTCAGGAATTCGGTATGACTGCTTTCATTTAATTTCAAGTGATCGATTTGACATTTTAACATTTTCTTTCTGGCAAGAGTTATTTGCCTTAACAAAATCACATAATGTCCTTTTATTATGACCACCAGAAACTTCTTTTTCAGAGCAGGTATTGTCATTCCTAAAGCGGGAATACCTTTAATTAAATGCAGCACATTTACGGTCGTGTCGTTACAAAAGCTGAGGTTGATACCTGTTTTAGCCCTTTGAATACTCAGTCACTTTAAAACTACAACTAGAAAATGCGGTACCCCTGCTCCTGTCAAATCTCAGAAGCTGAGCAGGGACTGGTTAGTACTGTGATGGGAGACCTCTGGGAATTAGTTACAACTATTGGGAAAGCTGTGCCAAACTGTTATGTTGCCTAGTGTGTGTGGTTGGTGGTGGTTGGAGAGGTCAATGACCAGCTTGTCTACCCCAGGGCAGCTGTGGCTACAGTAGTTTTTCATCACCACTATACAGAGCGAATGAATGATGCCATGTCAAGCATCTTTAAAAGTCCAAAAAGTACTGTGCACCCCACCCACTGCTATCTAATTGGCCACCGTGCCGAGTAAATAGCAAGAAGGTCCTGGGTTCGAATCCCGGTCGAAACAGGCCCTTTCTGAGCGGCGTTTGCATGTTCTATTCGTGCCTGTGTAAGTTTCTTCCGAATTCTCTGGTTTCCCCTACCACAAAAAACATGTACAATAGGTCTGAATGTAATGAGTGATTAAATGGCAGTGTGTTCGGCGTCTCTCTCTCGTCCTCACAGTGGGTGAATGGAAAAATATCTGATCATTGTAAAGCACTTGGACCAAGGGTGACCTTGATCTGTAAAATGCAGAACAAAATAAACAATACTTACTTAATGCATTATTATTACGATTAAAAGAGTGTTGGTTGTTAACTATATAATAAAACCGTGTATACACCACATTTAAAGGGATTCCACCAGAAAACGCACTCACATACGCTGGGGTATCTTTTCCGTCCAAACTATGGCCTGTGAGCCAAATGCGGCCCACAGTACCATTGTATGTGGTCCTTGGTCTTGCTAACATCCATCCATCCATTTTATTCCCCTTTATCCATTTCTGGGTAGGGGGGTGGCAGTCCTGCAGGTGGTGAGTCCACAGGAGCTGAGATCTTTCAGCAGGGGCTTCAGGCAAAGGGGGGCTAAGATTCTTGCCCAAGGACACAACGACAGCAGACATCAATGGGAGTTATGACGTAGGTCTCGTGGTGGGCTCAAACCCACGACCTTCAGGCCCAAAGGCCAAGGCTCTACCAACTGAGCCACTGTCGCCCCGAACCTTGCTAACACTAAGCCGCAATTAAGATACCTTCAAATGTCATCCAGCCAGCTTCAGCTCCACCAACGTAGTCATGGAATACCTTGTTGTAAAGCTCAGAACCTTTGGAATCCTGTCTTTATTTGTATTTACCAACATGTTTTTTTTATTGTTTCACAAAGTTCTATAAATGTACCTGTGGTGTGAATCGACATGGACATACGTACATTCCACTTTAGCGTCCAGAATCCAAAGTTTTTTACAATCCATTTTTTCTGCCCTTGGACAAGTCTGGTGAACTTTAATAGCTGGCTCACTGAACACCCCAGTTCTAATAAGAGGTAGACAGCATATGTTGGTCGGATTTGTACTACTACCACTTTTACAAGACCATTTTTTTCTATTTATGGGAAAGAAAAGTTCCATACCCCAGCCTTAAGGAGCTACACTCACTGCACCCAGGGCCGGTGTAGTCGTGTGAAGGTCCGCGTCGCTCTGGGCCCCGAGAGCATTAATATGGATCAGTCTAACTGCACCATCAAGCTTCTCACACTCACTTAAGTGTCGAGTTTTTCACACATTGTTTCATCTCTCGTGACGATCAAACACCCATTTGCGGCTGTGGACGGGAGTCTTGACACATAAACGTCCAGTAGCTACATCACACACAAACAGTCGCCTCCGGCTGGAGCTCTAGGCACCCCACTCACATCAAAGGGTCTCAGGGTAAGATCTGTGGGGGTGGCGCGCACTCTTTAGTCTCATTAAAAAGACGCAACATTAAACATCATCTAAAACTTCTCTCCGTGCGTCCCATTGGAGATGCTACTCTTTGTGACACGTCTGTAAACAGTTTGAAAGAATGGGGCCCTGAATGTGTCATATGCATAAATATGTAACGACGCGCTGATTAGCTAACACAAAGAACAATAGTCGATAGAAAAGAGAGGAGGCTGTTTACTTACAAAAAGAAAGTTTATTTAGTTGTATATTGCACTTTGAGATTGAATTCCGTCTGATTTATAAACTTCTACAGTGAAAGCACATAGTACATCATTTTAATGAGACCTACGCCGATAGAAAATAGCAAAGAGAAAGCGTTCAAAACACGAGTCAAACATTTTTCATGAGAGTAATGACCTCACAACAGATGCTGTTTGTGCCGGCAGAAAGGTTTTACACTGAATTTATTTACAAGAAAAAGCAAAGGAATAATAAACATAGATAATCAGCGCTATAAGGCCGTTTTAGGTGTGTATATATGTTGCTTTTTACATTTAAAATCTAATCTTGGTGTCAATTGATTCCAGATGAATGTGTGTTTTGTGAGCTTTGGCAGGTCAGTGTGGTCTGTACGTCTATAATCGCGTGTCCTTGATATTGTGACATCTCCTGAGTGAAGCTTTCAACCAGTTTCTAGTCTGTCTCCATTTTCCTGGACTCAAATTTGTGCGCACTAATGTCACAGTGAAATTACAAAGGCTTTACCAAGACAATGAGCAACACTCAATATCAGTGAAAAAAACCATTAACATCTGCTATAAAGTAGTACTTGATTTCATACCATGTGGTCGAACTCTGCCTCTGATATACAATTCTGTTTCGTCCTGTGGAAAATGTTGCTAATATTTATAACAATCCAGTCTGTGTACATCAGTTCCAGTTTGTCTGCAATCCCTCAAATGTGCCTTTTTAAACCCCCATGAGTGTTTAAAAAGGTAAAAGACAAAGACTAAGTTAAAATGTTAGATATGCGGGATGTTGATTTGGAGATATTATTAGCACTGGTAAATATCAGGTATTAGCCATATCAAAACATAACAAATACAGAAAATGTTTCATTATTTTCTAAAAGACTTGTCTAGCTTTTGACTAGAAAGATTTCAATCCGATATTTCTCATTTCAAGAAAGAACTATTGCCGAGACTTGAGAAAAAATGACTTGTCTTCACAACAGTGAATTATTCTAGTTCACAAACGTCTAAGGAATGAGAGTAGAGAAATGACCTGAATTCAAGTATTTTAAGCAACTAAATGTTCATGATTTGCCTCAAAAAGTCCATATTGAAATGTCTTCTTTATCTAGCTTTGAGCCTAGTTATTTGTAATACATGTACAAGCAAGTCTGTTCATTGTGTTACACCAGTTACACCAGTTACACCAGGCCCAGGATGCGGGCCACCCACCAGTTGCAGGGCATGATGACGCGGCACACGGGCCGGCAGCCCCTGTAGTGGTAGGGCCAGGGGTGGTACCCTCCCAGCGGCTCGCACACACGCATGCAGTGAGTGTAGCTGCGACGGCACTCGTGACAGCAGACCCCACTGTGGTCCAACATGGGGTCGATGTTCATGTCGCCCGTCTCCCCCTCAAGACCTCTCTGTGTGAGAAAGAACCATGGTAAGAGTCAGATTTCATGTCCAATATTAATACCGGTGAATATGTTCAATATAAAACAACAGATTACAAAATAAAACAAATGCACAGTTTGAAGAGGGTTCGGCCAAATACAACGGCCCGATACAACGGCCTTTTACCTTTAGTTGTCACTAAGTAGTTTATATCTATGTAGCGCATTTCATAGACCATTCTCTCCACACACAGTGGTGACAGAAGCAAGATGCCCACCACACCGGCACATCGAAGCCCCTGACCCTCACAGTCCATTCACTCTCTCATTACATTCATTCCTATTATACACGTTTTTGGCAGTGGGGAAACCGGAGCACCCGGAGGAAAACTACACAAAAAGGTCTGAATGTGGTTTTGAACCGAGGTGCTTCTTGCTGTGAAGCACGAGCGCTGACCACTTGGTTACCATGACATCAGAACTTCAGAAGTACTAAAGTTACTTTGGAACCATATCTGAGTGATGCCTTCAGCACTGAGAGAGCAGTGGAAGAGATGTAGGGTCAGAGAGTGTTTGGGCTTGTGTCTTGTCAGTGTGTGTGTGTGCGTGTGTGTGAGAGTTGTCTTATAACATTATATGATAGTGTGTTATGTTGCTATTCTACTGTATTGTATTGTTACAAATTGTCGTGTTGCAATGTTAAATGGGTCAGGGGGGTTTGAGGTGTATGAGGGTCTGCTTCGTCTATCCCCTTTTTGAAACGTGTATATTGTGTGTTATTTTGTTGTGTGAAGTTGTGTTTGTTCATGTTTTGGAATAAACAGCTTGATTGATAGATCATCTCCGCCTGGTTTGTATGGCACTGAGCAATCTCCATGGAAACAAGCATCAAAACCAATATTTGTTATGCAAATAAAAGCAACCATACATTGATAAACTAAAGAGGTTTCTAACATATTGTGGAATAATCCAGGCGAAGCAAAAGCTTGTTTGAGACAAGCATCTGCTGGACCTCAGCCTCAACGCTGCGCGACTCCACCACCTGCTTTCATGGACACGTTTTTGCTTTTCCCCAAATGTCCACAGGCTTGAAATCCATTTAGCATATATTTAACTATTACTGTTTACAACACTCAAAAACACATTAAAAACCTGGTTGCATCATCTAATTTTTCTAATTTCCTTTTCTGACATTTGTCACAAATTTGCCAATAAATCACAAAGATGCACCGACAGCTAAACCAAAGCTTTGCATCTCAATGGCCCTGGATAAATAGAATGTATAAGTACAACTGCAGCAGAGAGCATATTGAATTCTTGGTGTCACTAGCGGATTATCTGTTGAGGAGTCAGCAATAAATGAGACGTACAAAAGCATTTTTATATGTTCCAAAATACCATGTGACATATCTGGTGGGAACTCCAGAATCCCCATGGAGATATCATGGCTTCACTTTGAGTATTCACAAAAAACTATCAAGCTTACATCCTCAAGGAAAAATATATCAAATAAACTTCCAAAGACCAGCTTATGCCATACTAACGATTGCCAGAAAATGTGATAAGCAGGTAGGATACATTCCAACAGAAAAGTTACACAGTGTGCCTTCGGTCTTTCAGGACCAACATAAATCATTCTCTCACAACTCGTGCGACAGTAATGAGTCCATCTCCCATCGTATCAGGGAGCTTCTTTGGTTTCATCTTGCCTTTTTTTTCTCTTCTATCTTAAGCCAATCACCGCACATTAAAACGTGTGAATGAAGTTGTCAAACCAAAATGAGATGTGACTTCTCCTTGTTCATTAACAAAACATAGTGAGCAGCTCAATTAGGTAAAATTATTTTGACAAGAACGTTTAGAGCTGGTAAATCTTTTTGCAGCGTTTGCAAAAATGTTGAAGTACAGTCGTGCTAATAAGAGGACATACATGACATATGTAAATGTACACACACAGATGTATGTCTGATCCTCTGCGTCTTTAGCGGCAGAGGAAGCTTGTTCCAAACCAATTAAAAATGGATTTCCGACAGGCACATGGGGAGGAGGGGATGTTGTCAGCTGTGGGTTTTTGTTGTCAAATATTTTCCTTTTCAACAGCTCGTACTGAGGCTGTTTGCCCCTTCTTTGCGGTCGTCAGGAGCATTGGTCGTGGGTTTTGGGGGGTTGCTTCTCTGTGAGTGTGAGCGGAGTGAAGGCGAGGGGATTAAGGGGGAGAGGGCCCCTGTCTGAGTCTGCAGGGACGTGTGCTCAAGGGGGCAAAGGCCTGCTGCAGAGGTGGGGTCAGAATTATTATATGCAGCGATGAAAGAAAAGCTTTGGACGTGCAGCTAAAAGGCTTGTGAAAAGCGTGAGGAGATGTATGCCCAGGAAAAACACCCACGCATTTGCTCAGATTCACTGTGACAATCCGGGCCCCGCAATGTGACCTCGACATCTGCTGCAGCCCGCACATCTGTGGGAAAGCCCCCCAACGCAAACTCAGGTGTCCCTCCGATGTGAGTGGACAAGAGTTAGTGTGAGTCAGAGAGGCTTGCACTGTCCCCTCTGCTGCTCTGCCGGAGCTGAGTTCAGGCTCACCACAGAACATGACAGCCGCCTTATTTACATGGAAAGTATGTTTGTGATTGTTGTGAAAATAATGTAGGTGTCAGCATGATGTCACTGACAAATACATGTTTTATTTCAAGAATGAAATAAGAATAAGTGTTTCTCTGAATAAAAATACAGTCATTATGGGATTTGTGTAATTTATGGGGATTACAGTATGTTGGGTTGTGATTTAGACAATCACAAATATTCAAACAAATTATGAAATAAATGTTTGTGTAAGATGTTTTCAACTAAATATGTGCTTTTGTTCCACCCTCACAAAATCTGGAAACTTGTAGTAGCTTTTGGAATACAATTTGTTTCAGCAGATAACTCATGAGGGATGTGAAAGTTGCTCTTCTCAGAGAAATATGAGACAAAATGATAATGTTTAAAGATGTCAGATCATTGATTTTCTTCTGTGCTAATTATTCTGACCAAGGGGTAATGTTTTCACCAGGGTTTGTTTGTCTGTGCCTGTGAATACAGTTCTGCATATTTATTATCCACTTGAATAAAATTTGACATGTGTAAGCGTGACACATCAAGTATCCCTAAAGCCTGACTCAATAATCAATAGGGTTTGTTCATGTGATATCACAACATTCTCAAGACCCTCTACTTTAACATTGTGTTGAGGTCAGCAGAAAAAATATTTCCTGGTAACTATGGAAACTGCTATACTGTAAGTCAGTCATTTCTCTGGTCCAACCCACATGCACCACAGACATATCAACTATTGTCTGGTTATTTTTCTCATAAATGTGTCTGTAAGTGGTAACAATACACAAAGGACTCGAGCTGCCATCAATAGTCATTTATACTGTATTGGTTGACATTTTGCTTCAAATACTATATGAAAATTGCAAACAGTAGTAGTTGAAAGTATTAGAGTATTTGCCATGTCCCTTTTTAGTCAACTAATTGAACGACTGTATGCTTGATGATGGCCAGTAAAAAGACCCTGAACCATAAGAAAATATGGCGAGTTTCTGAATCTACACTATCACTATCAAATAATTATCTGGGAAAACAGTTGGACATTTTCTTTTTCATACATTCGTTCAAAAATCCCTTCTTCCCATAAACTTGTATTAATACTTGGCTCTAACTGCAGCAGAACTCTATAACACAGAGACTTGCTACCATTAGGATAAAGATATTTAAAACTCCCATGGTGCAGCAGTGGCAGTTGTAGAGGAGTGTGTGTATTCGCTCGCAGATATGAGTGGATGTTTGTGTGTGTGCTCTGGTTGGCACGACTCGCCTGGTAGGGGTTTTCTGGGTTGAATTCTGCTTCCACGTCTTCTTCAGCACCGACCTGGCGCTTCTGCCGGGGGACTGTCCTTTTCTTCCTCTGCTGGCCTGCACACAACACACGCTCGCACAATGACAGCCCGCCAGGTTTAGCCGCTCGGCAATAATGCGCCTTCATACTCTCAGGTTCCTCGCAGCGGTGTCTCAAGCCATCAAGGAAAGTACAATAGAAAATGTTTGGAGGAACTTCTGACCTCCCAGTGTGCTAAAACTGTTCGCAGCTCAGCTCAGAAACTTCAAACGGTGCTGTGATTTTCTTTTTTAAGACTTCTTTTTAAGTGCTATAAACATTGAGATGTTAAATGGAAATATTTCAGACCGTTTGACCTGCATCTTCTTTTTGCCTTAAGGAAAACTACATCAAGAATAACTACACAGAGAGGCTCATTTGATTTGTTTGTGGCTTTCAGGCAACGCTCAGTGAATCAATTTATTTTTAATTAGAGATTGTGTAATGGGAAACAAGTGCTTAAGATTAGATTTCTAAAGTCAGTGGGTTTTGTACTTGAGTCTTGCTTCTTCAACATGCTAAAGCTAGAGATTTTTAGACTTCTTTCCTTATGCTAAAGATATAGATTTTATACTATTAGTTATTATTCATTTATCTTGTGCTGTGTGCTCCCCATTCATACTGTCTTAGGTGTTTCATTTCTTGTGATGCAACACCGACATTTTCCCACTGTGGGACAAATAATGAATCTCTTGAATCCTTATCAACCACCATCTTGTTTAGGGCCACCAAATGCTACAAACCAACGTGAATCTACGCTGGCTTAGGTAATAGGACAAAAAATGACTCTATTTTACATGTAACACATCTTTCTCTGATCACACAGTGGGGGTTGTTGCTCACTGGTAGCGTAGGTGGGACGGAGCCAGAAGATTGGCAGGTCACCACACAGGTCCTTGATCCTGGTGCTGAGGAAAGCAGAGTCCGTCAGCGGAGCGTCAGCTGCCACCCAGATCATGTCGTCAAACTTGGCAGGCATCACTTCGTCCTCCTTCAACAACGACACAGAACGACGCAAAGATTTTATTATCTATTGGTTTTATATAGAGCTTTTTTGGACACTCGAAGATGCTTCACATGTCATTATTCTTTCACTCCATACACAGCTGCCCTGGGGAACACTGACAGAAGCGAAGCAACCAGTATGTGCCATCAGCCCCTCCGACCACCACCAACCATTCACACACACACCAGACTCATTCTAGGCAATGGGGGTGAAGTGTCTTGCCTAAGGACACAACCACAGTTTGGCACAGTTACAGCCGCTGTGGCACCAGGTGTTCCCAGAGGTCTCCCATCAGAGTACTAACCAGGCCCTGACCTGCACATCTTCAGAGGTCTGATGGGATCTGGCAAAGATAATGTTACTTTTCCATAAGATCCAAGAAGTCAATTAGACAATTGGACTGGGAGGAATTGGGAGGAATTGGGAGAATTTGTGGGAGATGTTGAGCCAAATTTAATCTTAATATTGAAGCGCTTATTGCAACACCTGAAAGAAAGAATTAATGAATAAAGTTTGATTTTTGGTAATTTATATAAATCATTACAGAGCAGAAGGCAACCATAATCATATCCGTTGTTCAATAGTTCCAAGTTAATCGTTAATTAGACTATATTATTATAGATTAGTTATATGGTTAGGTAAATAAGTTTTTTAGTGCTTTGCTTGATCAGTTCAACAGTAAAACGTTAAACTCATCTACAGATGTATTTCCCCAGTGACAAGTCGCAGATCAAGGTTTCTGTTTTAAAACTTTTGGAGCAACAAAATTGTACTAAAAGTGTATGCACGAGGAATTACCCAAACTCCCTTAAACCACATCAAATGTGCTCACTGCTTGTCTCTCTGAGCAGAATCCAGGCTCCCTTCTCTTTACTCTGCTACACACATCACTATGCACATGCCTTGATCACATTTAGGATATTTTTTTTATTTTTTTTATTTATATATTTTATTTGGATGGGGCAGTGTGTATTAATGAACAAAAGGAGCTGGAAATACACCAGATTATAGTTTTTGAAGCTAATTTCCATCTGTAGTCCAACAGTCCCACTCAAAAACACACACTCATTCGACCCTCACCTATTGAACAAGCACACTCCACACAGATACGCCCCGTCTGGAGGTGGAATCTAACCCAGGACCTTCTTGTTATGAAGCCCATATCAGCTGCTCTGGCTCACTGTACGGTTTTCACTGAATATTTGATCAGGTTTCATTTCACCTATCCACTTTCTCCTCTTTTCCTTATCCTCAATCATTTAATTGTAATGTGGCTGTAAGAGTGGTCATCAGGCTGGCTAGACTTTTTATGTCTACAGAACTCCTGGATAAATAGTTTCGTAGATTTTCTGGTGCGGAGCTCTGTCCACAGAGAAAACACATCCTTGACGCCGCTGTGAATCCACTCATACAGCCACGGGGTCACTACAAGGCTGAATAGGCAAATTTATCAACAGTTTTTCCCAACAAAAAGCTGCATAGTGCACCTTTATTACTATCCTTGAAATACTTGATTTCTATAAGAAATGACTCACAATACTGAGCTATGGAAATGTATTAGCTTTTGAAATTAAACTAATTTGATTTTCATATTCGGAGCAGTTTACTGAATGGAAATGTTTTATCCTTTTTGAACTGCAATAATGCTTTCACCCTTTCCATATTCACCTTATATATTAGTATGAGGCGGTAAAATACATCATATAGCATGTGCTGGGCTGAGTTCATGGACTTCTTTACTCCAGTCAAAACAAAATTTGCATATGTGTGCCCAGCCTCCACCCTTCAGTCAAACCAATCTGCATGAACGAGGGGCTTCTAACACTTCCATAACAATACCAAATCAGGAAGTTAAAAAGGATGTCCTTGAGGCAACATTTAGCTAACGTTTAACTGGATACGCAACATCAAAATGCATCAACAACTGAATAAAAGACAGGGCTTGGTATGATTTCCCAGGTTAGAATAATAACATGAGTGCAATGTACAGAGTGTCCACCGCCTGGAGGTAATGAAGGTGTCTGGGGGATGTTTCTGCCCAGCGGCGCTTGTTCCTGGGGGTTGTTACCCTCGCTATCCTTCCACATGTTAAAGTAATATTATCCCACGACCTTTCAGATGCGCTGCTGCTCATATGATGTGCTGCAGGGACAAATAAAAGTAGTTTTTTCTCCTCTGCTCCACTGATAACACTTTATCTGACCCACTCCCTGCCGACAGAAGCGTGTGTGTGTGTGTGTGTGTGTGTGTGTGTGTGTGTGTGTGTGAGAGAGAGTGCGTGAGTGTCTGAGTGTGTGCGTGTGTGTGAGAGAGAGTGCGTGAGTGTCTGAGTGTGTGCGTGTGGCCATCACTCTAAATTATAGCAAATGACCAGCCTGCAGCAGCCATTACAACAACAGCTCCCATCTTCACCACCGCGGCACAAACAAAATATCATTTATGAGTAAAAGACAGACAACACACGAGAGGGGAAATAAATGATCCTTTATGAAGCAGGGAGAGGCAATAAGAGCAGCGCGGCGTGAAAATGAATAGTGTACTTGCATTTGTGTGTTGACAGTAATTTTGGTAATTCGGGCTATGTGGATTTATATGGGGCTTATGCACAACTAAATGATTTGAATTATCGGATAGCCCCGACGACAATGGTGGGTTTGAAAGGGGTGATAATAATTGCCACACAGACACAGTGCACTCAGACTGCTCCAGGTTATGATGTGTTTTTCTTTAATGGGGTCCGTTCTACTTTTAGTGCACTGGGGCTAAAGCCACACAAACGCATATAATTACTGTATCCATCTATATGATAAACGTTAAACAACTGCAAATGCGGCGAGCCCCAAAATGAGGTCACAATGGAACCAGTGCGAGAGTCACATGTAATCTATTGTCACCTCTGCTAACTTAGACCGTTTCTAGCATCTGTGTACTTGTCATCCGTTAACAAAGCAGTGTGGCGGCTTTGGGTGTGGATGTGAAGTGCAACTTGTTTGTCTAGTAAGAAAAATAGGATAAAATAAAGTAGGGGAAAAAATCTCAACTGTGATTAATTGTGAATACTAAATTACTATATCAACTTGGGAAAGTGTAAAGTATTTATAAAAAATGTATATACATGAGGTGCGCTGTGCTCAAAAATGCCATTGGACTTTTTCATATGGAGTGAGGCACTCCAACAAGGAACAAGGACACGTGTTTTAGTACAAACTATAAAAGCTTGTAACTGAGGGCAGCACTCATGTCTGGCGAGTGCTCTCTCTGTAGAGTTAGTATGTTTCTCTACACATGGGTTTCCTCTCAGTGCTCCCCCAGTTTCCCCCATCACCCGAAACATAACAAATAAAATCCCCCAGAGCAGGTATCTCACCAACACATCTAGAGAAGAGTCTCAGAAGAGTCTCAGAGAGGGAGGGGCATAGTGGCCTTGGAAGGATGCAAAGAACAAATTACCCTACGGAGTCAATGAAGTGTACATTTCCTTTCTTTTTTTTTTAATCAAATGTGAAACATGTAACTATAGTCATAATGTCAGGTAGAGCAGCCTGATTACAGCCAAGTGCTAACAAACACCAGGCAGCAGAGGCAATTGAAATATAGCACAAATCTGTGCTATAAAAGCAGACCTCCCCAGACCCCGCTCTGGACCTCCAGACACGGCCCCGTTCACCAGCTCTAGTTGAAGTGTGGTCTGATGAGAGACAGCTCAGAAAACCACAGTGGGACAACTGTGGCTCTGTTGTGCTAACTGTCATGGTGTCCACAGACAAGAGACGCCACACACATTTCCTAGTATGAATCTGGTGGTGGTGGTGGTGGGGGGGGGGGGGGGGGGGGGGGGGGGGGGGGGTGGGGGGGTCACAGTCAGCCTCAGGGCTGTGTGAATGAGTGAATGTTTAATAAAACATTAAATTGTTAAGTGTCTTTTAGACTATTGAAGTATCTTTGAATCAAACTGAACTAGTGATCTACTCCACTCCTGTATGTGTTCACTCGCTCTATGAAATCCAGGGAGTTTTACTGTTTTAACACACATTCCAAGCACACTTTGAAATAGTGAAGCTCAGTAACCATTTTTCACACCCATCTGTTGTTTACCACTCTTTGGAAATCCAGATCTGACCTCTAACAAATGACTAATCAGGTGCCTTCTGTCCCTAAATTGTCACATGATGAATGATGGTCAATTGTTGTCATAACTATTAGGGTAAGTACTGTTGTGAGCCACACTTGAGATAATGAAATCGTATCTAATTTTTCTCTCACTTCACTTTATTTGTCTTTTCACCAAAACATCAACATCTGTTTATGTTTGTGCCTTTGTGACCTGACAATACTTTCCCAAGGCACTGTGCGTGTACGTATACTGTAAATACAGTGGAGGATCAGAGAGGTAAAGGTTTGGATACTTTTCACAACTGAAATCCCTCTACAGACCAAATTCCTAGCAACAAAAACATTTAGCAGCAAGTCTTGAAATTCCCAACAAAGACTAATGCTTTGAACAGAGTGCAGAGAAACCCACCAGGTCGAATGTGAGGGAGTCTTTGTTGAGCGTGTCCACGTCGGGCAGTCGGGCCTTCACCTGCGTCTTGATGTAGCATTTCTCTCCTCCCGCAAATCGAATCCCAGTGATCCCCTGTAGACAAACTCTTCAGTGCCTCGGGCAATAGATCAACATGAAAACTCTTCTTGACAAATCCATGGACATATCAGTGTTCCTGCACCTGCTCTCATCCCCAAACCTTTGAAAATAATTAATTACTTTTTGAGTCATTTGCCCTAGATTCAAATATGAATAGTTGGCAGGATGTTATGATTAAAGGTCAACTCACTGATTGGGATTATTTTGGGTGCTTAAAGTAAAGGTCGGCAAGCAGCAGTCCAAATTTAATGAAAATTGGAGAGGCGATATGACAAGACACTGATACGTATCCAGGGCAAATTTATTCACTTAGTATTTCCCCCACTTGTTACATGAATCATAAAACTTTGAGTGGCTCTGACCTGCTCTTCACTGCTGCCTGGAATATCATTCTTTAGATGATAGATGTGTCAGCCTATTATGCTAGAATCTGGACCAGTCTTCCTGAAAATGTGAGACAAGCTTCTTCTCTGACAATGCTCAAATCCAAATCCATCCGTCACTCTTTTTAATGTACTGTGATTATTTATGAATATAATGCCTTGCGTGCCTTGTGTGATTGTCTTTATCTTGCTTTTTTTGATCCACACTGGCCTTGTGTATGAATTGTGCTATACAATTCACTCAAACTTGCCTTGTGTTCTTAAGACATGTTTTTTTTTTTTTTATGTGAACCCAAACAGGACTTACAATTTCAAAGTCGTGCACTTCCATGGCCTCGTCCGTGCCGCTGCCGGTGCTGAAGCTCTCCCTGTTGTTGGCAGAGTCGATTTCCATTGCGCCCTCCTCAACTTTACCATTGATGCTCATGCTGTAGTGGACATTGTAGACCTGTGCAGAGAGAGACAAGTCTGGCATGTCAGCTATGAAGCCAAATCCTCACCTCCCCCTTCCAGTGCTACACTATATTTCAACGCCGCCTTGCTTTTCCAATCTTCCCCCATCACATATGACCTCTCTCCTCTGCATCTTGCTTTCACACTTTCATTCAGAGACGTTATGAAAAAAGCTTTTCTTCTTTACAGCCCTCTCTGTGATGATGACCCTTTGCTAGAACATCATGTATTTGCCGCCTTAATAGCTTTTTCACATAATGGAGAAAAAAAAAGCTCTCAGAAGCACCTCATTTTGCTTCTCATCTCCTACACCTCCTGCACCTTTAGCGTCAGCCGGACCAAAGCCTCCCTCACCAACCCCCATGCCCCAGTCCCACCTCTTCAGAATCCCAGAGCTAACACACGCACACACAACGTTGCCATTCACAAAGCGTCTTCTTTGCTTGAGTCTGAACTAACCGGGCTGCAGTCTTTCATTTGCATTTCAGTGTTTGCCTACGCTGCAGAAAAAAAACTCTTGACTTTAAAGGACTGACTGAGTTTCCATTTCAACTAATGCTGAAAAGATGAAGCCTATTTAGCTTGTTGCAACATCACCCTCAGTCCCTATTCATGCAAGTTATTATGCAGCGTGTATAGCGAAATGGTGTGTACAAACACTGGAGTCAAGTTATCTCAAACTTTCCAAAGTGAAAGTCGAGCACTATTGTTAAGTTTTAAAAAGATAATAAAAACATGGTGGAGTATCCCCTTTACAACAGGCATTGGATCAATATCAACTGCACTGTCCTTTGCAAAATCCACAAATATAATATATCTTGTATTTGCAAGATTTGCTAAAACAGGCAATAAATTGACTTCACTTCCAAGTAAACCTCACTCTATCTTGTTTTCATGTCTAAGGAGACAGTGCCCCTAAGACCACTGAGCTTATGTAAAAGTACTTTCTGGCACTATCATTGTTATGACCACTGAATGAACTGCTACTGTTAAGGATCATGGTGGTACTGTACATGCATGTCCCTCTCAAATATGTATTAGGCTATATAATCACAACTCTTACATGTTTCTCATTGTTGTTCCAGAAGTAGAAGGCCCCCACGGCCCCCAGCAGCAGCAGAAGAGTCCCGGCAATGAGCACTGCTATCCCAGCTTTAATGAGACGCCCCGTGGCGGTGGGCTTCACGGCCACCGCAGAGTAGGCCTGTAATATCACCGAGTACAATCTCGTTAGATATTTCAGCGGGGGCCGAGATACAGGTTCAAAACAGGTTTGGCTTCTCGTTGACTATGAGTCTTAATTTTCACCACTTAAGGCGCTTAGAAATCGATTGTCTTCAGAGCCACACATTTCAGCCAAAAGAAACATTGACTTTAGATTAATTTTAAACTTAGATTCTTAGTAGCCAGTCTAACCCTGTCAAATAAATGTCAGGGGCCCCGTGTAGCCTGATCCCCTTCACGCATTAACTTCACAGACATTTTCAACGAACCTGTTTAAATCTAGATGCTATTTCCTATGGGCACATGCTGGTTTGAAAGTTATCCAGGGGCGGTGGAGACTCACCGGGGGTAAAAACTGTTGCAAGTCCTCGGGTCCCGCTGAGGCAATAGGTATTTTCTCTGCGTTCCCGGCCATGGCTGCAGTCAAATACCAAAACACCTGAGGAGAGGAGACGCTGTTCATCCAGGGGCAGACCCCCACCCCTGTCCCTGCGCCCGCCCCTTCTGGAACAGAACGCCAAATTAGTGTCAAAGCATTAGTAATGTGAGGGTAGAAGGGTAAAAGGGACTTGTTTTGGATATATGGCTGCTGAGGGTTTATTGAGGCACATTAGGTAAAAAAGATTCCGGTCTGATCTAGACTCGGGACTCATTCAAGCAAACTTGAACTGAGATTCTCATAATACAGGAGGATGTGTCAGGGAAACGTCTTCGTGCTCATTATGAGCTCAGCTGCAGAAGAACGGTGTATCCCTCGTCCTTGGGCAGTGGCAGTCATTCTCACTACAGATCAGATGCAGCAGCAGTGCAGAGCGTCTTAGTTAAAGTCTAATATAAGCAAAAACGCCTTCTTTCAGGGGTGCGTTCATCATATTTTCTCTTTGAAGATCCTATAGGCAGCTCATAACTCCAATAACTTTGATTCATGCTAAGATCCTCAAAGTTTCACATCATTAAGCCTCCTGAAAGCAACAAGCTCGACTCAGTAATAAGGATGAAGGAGGCGAGGTATTCCCCCCACCCACTTTTCATAACCTACGAGCTCTTCTCTCTCTCTCAGAAATACACCCAGTCTTGTCCCAGGACACTCACGGGGTCCTCACCTCTATGAACACACAGCACCAAGCAGCTCCTCTCTTATCGGTATATTAGATATTTGTGGCACGAATATCACAGTGCACTAAATGAACATTCCCTGAATGCTTGGATGATAATGAGAGATTACGTAAAGGCGCATAGCGCGCATTTGACCGCGGTAAAGTGGGCCGCATCTTTCACCTCCAAAGTAAAACGGCCCGCATCGAGAGAAAAGCAGTGCGCGTTTTGTTGACTGCTTACGGTAATAGCAGAACAGCCTTTCGCAGTCAGCTTTTCTCCTCGAACAGAAAGCGCGCTTAGGAGACTCGTTTTGTGAATAAACCCTTATTTGGAAAAGCATGTAAAAAGCTGCTTTTCAGCTGCTGTCCATTTTTACAGTAAAGACTTGAGTATCTTATTCCACTGGGTGTATGACCTCACCACTGCCTTCACCGCTGTGCCTACAACCACAAACATTTACTTTGGAAATTGTGGGTAAAATTGAGACAAATTACACTTTTTAGTCCAAAATACACAAAACTAAGAAAATTCCCACCTTTGATCTACTGTAACTTTTTTACTGTAAAAAGGTGTGAGACTAATTTCACTGGATTCATGACCTCAACATTGCCCTCTACCACTGTACCAAAGACAAGAAACATTTACTGTAGAAATATTGAGAAATATTGATTTAAAGTAGCCATTTTGGTCCAAAATACCTCCAAAATAGTCAAAACATGTCACTTTTGATCTACTGTAATTTTTTACTGTAAAAAGGTGTGCGACTGATTTCACTGGATTCATGACCTCAACATTGCCCTCTACCACTGTACCAAAGACCAGAAACTTTTACTGTAGAAATATTGAGAAATATGGAGGTAAAGTAGCCATTTTGATCCAAAATAGCCAAAAAATGGTCAAAACATGTCACTTTTGATCTACTGTAACTTTTTACTGTAAAAAGGTGTGAGACTAATTTCACTGGATTCATGACCTCAACATTGCCCTCTACCACTGTACCAAAGACAAGAAACATTTACTGTAGAAATATTGAGAAATATTGATTTAAAGTAGCCATTTTGGTCCAAAATACCTCCAAAATAGTCAAAACATGTCACTTTTGATCTACTGTAATTTTTTACTGTAAAAAGGTGTGCGACTGATTTCACTGGATTCATGACCTCAACATTGCCCTCTACCACTGTACCAAAGACCAGAAACTTTTACTGTAGAAATATTGAGAAATATGGAGGTAAAGTAGCCATTTTGATCCAAAATAGCCAAAAAATGGTCAAAACATGTCACTTTTGATCTACTGTAACTTTTTACTGTAAAAAGGTGTGCGACTAATTTCACTGGATTCATGACTTCATTATTGTCTATACCAGAGCTGTATTTGCATTGCCGGCAGGTGCAGGCTGCCCTTTTTCACCGCTTCATGTTTACTGTCATAATGGACAGAATTTGTAGGTGCAGCCAGGGGCCGGAGGGGGTCCGGTTCGGAGACCACAGGATTTCATCTCTGCTGTTTGCCGACGATGTTGTCCTGTTGGCTCCAAGGAACCAGGACCTGCAACATGCACTGGGACGGTTTGCAGCCGAGTGTGAAGCGGCTGGAATGAGAATCAGCACCTCCAAATCCGAGGCCATGATGCCTGACCGGAAAAAGGTGCCTTGCCCTCTCGAGTAATGAGTAATGATTATTTATATAGCGCATTTATATATATATATATATATATAAAAAATTATATAGCGGAAAAAAAAGCATCTGCGCATGCGTCAGCCGGCGCAAGCTCCATTCATTTGGACGAGAGACTTAAAAAATTCACAGCAAGTAAAGTAGAGTGGTCCAAAAAAATTCACCCCCCTCAGCATTGACACACATGTGGAACGGAGCTTTGGGCCAAGAGCCAACTTTTGGACCATCCTTTTCGAGAGGTCTGCCAATGCTATATGTTAGCATTGGCTAATTCTTTTTCCGGGTCCACCCCCATCGGCCCGGGGTGGTATTGCAAGCATGTCAGCGCATCATTTTGGCCACTTTCGAGCCGGGACCCGTCCCCACTGATCAGCCCCCAATCTTCATTATCCATTAATACCTATTGAGCATGTTTTTAGTGGTAGGGGAAACCGGAGCACCCGGAGGAAACCTATGCAGACACGGGGAACATGCAAACTCCACTCAGTAAGGCACTGTTCCGACTGGGATTTGAACCCAGGACCTTCTTGCTGAGAAGCGAGAGTGCTATCCACTCAGCCACCGTGCCGCCAAAGTGGAGAGGTCCTTCCTCACGTGGAGGAGTTCAAGTATCTCGGGGTCTTGTTCACGAGTGACGGAAGGATGGAGCGTGAGATTGACAGGTGGATTGGTGCAGCGTGCGCAGTGATGCGGCCACTTTCGATTTACCGGTCAATTCTTGTTCCCTCCATCACCTCTGGTCATGAGCTTTGGATAATGACCGAAAGAACGAGATTGTAGATACAAGCGGTGGGAAAGAGTGGTTGGGCACTCCCTTTAGGTGTTTTCACCCCGGACTCAACTTAGACTTGAAAAGCGTCAGTTTTGCACTGAAAATGAACAGTGAAGCGCGTCAGGTGACGCTGAAAGGCCCGGCGTCACTTGAAGCGCTTCAAAAGACGCGAGCATTATGCGCGTCACTTGAAGCTTTTGACACGCGTAATGCTTGCGTCTCTTTTGTCGTAAAAAAGTCCCTTAACGCCGAAGTTGAGAAAAGCTTTTGGAGCTTGACGCCGGGCTTCAACCAATCTGGAGACGAGGAGCAGCAGCAGCAGCAGCAGCAGGGCTGTCATGTAGCTGCTACTGCTTTTTCATTGTCATTATTGTTATTTGTAATATTATTTGTATGAATAGTAATGTTCTTAAAAAGTAAGTAACACAATCAATGTACATATGCTGTGAAGTTAAAGTAATTTATTTAGTATAAGAACAAGCTAAAGCTGGCTCAGACACAGCAGACTGAAAGACAGGCGCTCCTCCGCGGGAATCAGTGCGAGCTTCCGGCAGGAGCGAAAGAAGCTCCTCCCACCCGGCGTCAGGAGCTTCAAGCAACAAGGGGCGTTCACACCGGACCCAGCGTCAAATATTGCGTTTTGTCAAAAGCGTTTTGAAGCTATTGGTCTGAAAACACCTTTAGAGATAGGTTGAGGAGCTCAGTCACACGGAAGGAGCTCGGAACAGAGCCTCCGCTTGTCGACTTGTCGAGCCTCCGCTTGTCGACAAAAGGGGCCGTAGCCCCTTTTGTGTATTTTTTTCCAAGGGGGGTACTTTGACTAATTATTTCTCAAAATTTCCACAATAAAAGTTACAGTAGACCAAAAGTGACATGTTTTGACCATTTTTAGGCAAGTTTGGACCAAAATGGCTACTTTAAATCATTATTTCTCAATATTTCTACAGTAAAAGTTTCTGGTCTTTGGTACAGTGGTAGAGGACAATCATGAGGTCGTGAATCCAGTGAAATTAGTCGCACACCTTTTTACAGTAAAAAGTTACAGTAGATCAAAAGTGACATGTTTTGACTATTTTGGAGGTATTTTGAACCAAAATGGCTACTTTACCTCAATATTTCTCAATATTTCTACAGTAAAAGTTTCTGGTCTTTGGTACAGTGGTAGAGGGCAATCATGAGGTCGTGAATCCAGTGAAATTAGTCGCACACCTTTTTACAGTAAAAAGTTACAGTAGATCAAAAGTGACATGTTTTGACAATTTTTAGGCTATTTTGGATCAAAATGGCTATTTTAACTCCATATTTCTCCAAATTTCTACAGTAAAAGTTTCTGGTCTTTGATACAGTGGTAGAGGGCAATCATGAGGTCATGAATCCAGTGAAATTAGTCGCACACCTTTTTACAGTAAAAAGTTACAGTAGATCAAAAGTGACATGTTTTGACTATTTTGGACCCAAATGGCTACTTTAAATCAATATTTCTCAATATTTCTACAGTAAAAGTTTCTGGTCTTTGATACAGTGGTAGAGGGCAATCTTGAGGTCATGAATCCAGTGAAATTAGTCGCACACCTTTTTACAGTAAAAAGTTACAGTAGATCAAAAGTGACATGTGTTGACAATTTTTAGGCTATTTTGGACCAAAATGGCTACTTTAACTCCATATTTCTCCAAATTTCTACAGTAAAAGTTTCTGGTCTTTGGTACAGTGGTAGAGGGCAATAATAAGGTCATGAGTCAAGTGAAATTAGTCGCACACCTTATTCCAGTAAATAGTTACAATACTTGAAAATTGCACTAGCGGACCAAATTGTGTACTTTATATATGTAAACAATAGAGTGGCTATCCTCCTGAGGACTCACAATCTGCAGGAGGAATCGTAGGGGGCTGGTGCTATGTGTGCCGGGTGGCATCTCTATAAGGTTTTAATCACAAAAACGTGTCTCCCTGACCCCAGCGCGCTTTCTGTTCGATAAAAATGGGTGACTCCGAAAGGACGTTCCGCTGTTACCGTAAGTTCTCAACAAAACGCGCACCGTCTTTTCCCCGATGCGGGCCGCATGTTCATAGAGCTGAAAGATGCGGGCCACTTTACCGCGGTCGCATTTGGCACCGGGACAAAGAACCGGAGAACACAGCCCACTTTCAAAGATTTCCACAAGGACTTTGTGTTATTCAGCAAAACTATCTTGTGTTTGAGAGACTGTCTGGTGCATAGAGTTTCAACTTGCCCAGGTCCAATTCGACCATATTCTCTTTGTCATGTTCCGTTCTGTACGTGCACCGTTCTGTACGTGCACAGGTGGATTTTACAAATTTGCAATCAATGCACAATTCAGCCGAACCCACAAACGCCACGTAACGTATTTGTCTGAAGTAAACTATGATTTTAATTAGTGAATGAGCTACAAGGTAGTACTGTACTCTCGTTCTTGGTATTCCTGAAGTGACTCTCTGCTCTGGCGCACTCCCAGCAAAGTGGTTTTCTCTGAAAAAAGCCTGACTGACCTTCCACAGTGAGCCGCAAGGACGAGGCTCGCCACAGTGTACAACAGCGACACCTGTTGACAGACACATGTCACACACCTGCAATGCTCTGTCCGCCCCTAATGTCCTGCTGTGAGCCATGGTTGTATAATGTGATTATAATGCAATACCAGGCACTGGTGGAGATTGTTGCTCATAATGTCTCACACGTGTGAATCAATATAATGTGGTCTACCTATTAATGGCCACATAAAGCTGCTTTCACATGAAATTAGCCCGTGGCTACAATCCAGAGATGTGCATTCATTAACTTGCACCATCCCAAACAAAACAACAATAAACAAATATACAGAAAGTTCATGTTCAGGTCCAACAGTCCAACCCAAGAGAATAATTAGGCTTATAATTTTATTTGATCATTTCAAAGTTTATTTTACCAGAGTTTGTGATATTAAAAGAATCACGAGTGCATTCAAGTCTTTTTTGCTAATACACTCAGGGTCCACTGCCTCAAAGTGCGCATTTTTGAGGCCATTTAAATAGTAAGCATGCTTAAAGGTCATAATTACAACTGGTATATACACATCTTCACTTATTTATAGCTTTATAAAAATAAACTCTTATGTACATATTTTGCATTATTATACACAACAAGTGATTGAAAGGACTCAATGTGGAATTTACATTAAACAAAACAAATAAAACATATTCACAGTGTCCTTAATATTATCAAATACATTATTCTCATTGTCTTCAATATAAATTAATTAGTCCATGACATCAGACATCATTGTTGTTGGGGCAGTGTGTTGGGGTGGGGGTGTACACCGGGATGCTGACTTCACTGATCTCTTGCACACGCACAGGTCTGGGAGGGGTCACAAGCATGTAGTCATACTCCCTGTGCAGCACCTTTTCATAGACGCTCTGCAGACCCACAGTTTTGGGGATGTGGGCTTGGTAGTAGGTGTCCCTGCGATTGGGGTCCCGGGGCAGTGAGGCTGTCTTCGGTAAGCTGCTGAAGGAGGACAGGGTGGGAGCAGGAGAGGGAGCCGCATGAGCTCTCACAGCTGTAGGACTCCAGCAGCGGTCTGAGTGGCCCAAGACCTTACATTCACTGGTGCACGCCCACAGAGCTGCAGAGGAGAAGGCATAGTGTCAAATTTACAGTACAAAATTGAGGCGGTTACAAATATTATCCAACTAAATGTATAATGATGTTGGACTGAAATTCAGACACACAATATTCATAGAGTTGAAGGTCAGTTACATACCGTTTGGTGTACCCATGGGAGGGACCGCAACTCCTTCTTTCTTCATAGTATCTGCGCTCACATCACTGTCACTGTCGTTGAAGTCACTGTCCCCTTTTCCACTGTCTTTGCCACTGAAGACAGGGTCCCGAGCAGAGATAGTGGTGTAAGAATTGCCCTTCCAGATGGTGATGGGGCGCACTGCCTCTTTGCTGTTGCCGTAGCCGGGGAGTGTGGAGTATCCCTGTGAGAGAAGCAAAGGTTAGTCCCAAGGGTCACCTAACATACACACAAGTGAACACAGCTGAACTCACCTCGTGCTTGTTTCCAGTGCGCTTGTTGTTGCCTTCTGAGTCGAATACACAGGGTGCTTCGCTGCCGTCCTCTGAGGCCGAACACATGTCTGTGCTCCCGGGATGAGCGGAGCTGAACCCCGGCTGGCTGTTGTAGGACTGTCCATCAAAGGTCACAGAGCCTCCTGTGGTGGAGTGCAGAGGGAGAAGTGGGTTTTCAGCCACGTGGCCTCTGCCCCGCTCCAATGTGCCTTTCTCCTGGTATGACTCTGTGTCCTCCTCGCTCTTGTCGCGCTTACGTCGGTTGCATGTGGTGGCAATGAGAATGATGGCCAGCAGCAGCAGGGTGCAGCTGCCCGCCAGGACCACTATGATGACCACGGACAGGTCCCACTGCACGTGCAATGGCGCCCCACTCTCAGACTCGTACATGGACCGGTCACTTGGGGGTGCGCCTGCCACAATCAAAAAGTGCAGAGTTGCAGTAGAACTGAGAGCTGGACGGCCATTGTCACTAACTGAGATGGTAACACGCAGCATCTCATCCACGTCATTGGACAGGGCGTGGTTCAGGTAAACATCACCTGTGGCCTTGTTCACAGCAAATGCAGAGGAATCACTGGAGACAAGGGAAAAAGACAGCTCTGCATTTACACCCTCATCTGCATCTCGGGCTTCCACATGAGTGACAATGTACCCACTCGGGGCCTCCTGTGGCAGGGAAATCTCTGCTGACCCATTGTGCAGTGCCGGCTGCGTGATCACAGGCGCATTGTCGTTCTGATCCACAATCCTGATGTAAACTGAGGCGCTGCCAGCCAGAGGTGGGGATCCACCGTCACTGGCGATCACTCGTAACTCCAGCTGCTTCACAAGCTCAAAGTTAAAACTTCGGAGTGCATACAAAGAGCCACTGGCGGGGTCAAGGCTAACAAAAGTAGATATGGGAGAACCCATGAAGTAGGTGTCTGCCAGTTTGTAGCTGACCTTCCCATTTGAACCCAAGTCCTGATCACGTGCCACCACAGTGGTGATGTAAGCACCTGGTGCATTGTTTTCATTGACAGCCACATCATACAGAGATTTGGTGAACACAGGTGCATTGTCGTTCTCATCAGTCAGACGTATGGTGTAGTGCGTAATGGTCCGGAAGGGAGGTGAGCCCAGGTCTTCAGCTACAATAGTGAGGTTATACTCAGGAATCTTCTCACGGTCGAGGGCACTTGTGCTTACAATCATAAAGCTATCCTCATAAGCCTGCTGTAACCGGAAGTGCTCGTGCCCATAGAGCGTACAGTGCACCTGTCCATTGGCTCCAGAGTCACGGTCTGAAGTGCTCACTAGCGCCACAAAACTCTCGCGTGCAGCCGCTTCTGTGACGTAAGCAATGCCGGCTGTAATGGACGTCATGGGACTGATTGAAATCTCGGGTGCATTGTCATTCACGTCCTGAACCTGGACCACAATTTTGCAGATTGCAGGGCTAGGGTTCGGACCCAGGTCAGTGGCCTGGATATCAAATTCATATGTGTTTTTGGTCTCAAAGTCCACAGGGCTCTCAAGTGTCAGCCGACCAGTCTTCCTGTCCACACGGAAGAGCTGCCGAATCTCCTGTGGCGCCTGGTTTCCAAAGCCATAAACAACTTCTCCATTTAGCCCCTCGTCCGGGTCCTCTGCGTTCAGGTCCAGCAGCAGCGTGCCCACGGGCGCGTCCTCTGCCAGATCGACAGAGAAACTGCTCCGATCAAAAACAGGGCTATTATCATTGTAGTCTTTCACTTTAATGTTAATGCGCGTGGTTCCGGAGCGGGACGGGGTGCCACCATCCATAGCCACAAGTTCAAGCGCGTAAGACGCGTGCGTCTCGCGGTCCAACTCTTTCATGAGTACCAGTTCTGCATATTTAACCCCGTCGGCTCTGCTCAGGACGTCAATTGAAAAGTGACTATTCACGGCAATTTGGTAACTCTGAATGTAATTAGAGCCCACATCTGGGTCCACGGCAAAGTCCAGTGGGATGCGTGTGCCAACCGCGGTGTTCTCAGAGATCTCCAGACTGGACTCTTTCCGTGGAAACTCAGGGGAGTTGTCATTAATGTCCTTGACCTCCACCTCAACGTGGATAAGTTTGAACTGCTCTTTGGAGAAACTCACTACGTCAAAAGAGATGAGGCAGAGCTGGCTGTGTTTGCAGAGGCGCTCCCGGTCTATCCTCTCTGCGATGCTGAGCTGGCCGTCGCTCTCCCGGAGCCGGATGAGGGAAGAGTTGAACTGTTTCATCATCCTGAAGCTGCTCCGGGAGCCAGAGGCGGACATGTCCTTGGCCAAGTTTCCAATCACTGTACCAGGTGCATCTTCTTCAAATGTTTGATATTTCACTGTTTTTGCGTAAGCAAAGGTCATACACCCACACAGGAACAAAACCAGTTCTTTCCATCTCCTTTCTTCCATATTGGCGGACTTTTTCTAAAAAATGAAATTTAAACAAACCAACTCCACTTTACTGGGAATTTAAAAAACTAAAAAACAAACACAAACGCTTTCCGAGTTCCAGTTGGTATTGTTTTCGCTTTTTCCTGGTGAATAAAGCTGTGGTAGAAACTCCATATGTCTCTGGGTGCGCACAGATGCGCTCTCTCTTCTATCTGTGGAGGTACTCACAGCGCAAGAGCGCTGCAGTGTCTGCGGGAGGGTTTATACGGGGAGGCATGCAAATGAGCCGCGCTGTGACCAATCCGCGCTTTGACTGGAGAAAAGGGGAACTTCTGAAAGACCTCTGTTTTGAGATTCCTAGACTGTGCGGAGAAACTTGGCATCTAAAGCAATGTGGGCTAAACACGGTACTTGATTTAATACATCTTTTCTGTTCCTGTTATAGGGTCTTTTGAATGCGCGCTGACGGAGGGGAGAACAGAGATGCGCAGTGTCCCTGAGATAGAGGACAAAGCTTCTCAATGGAAATGCGCGCTTTGAATGTAAAGAGACTCATCCTTAAAACCGTCCTTTTATCCACGCGTGTCCAGTTTATGCGCATCGGAGTATAGAGGGTATGACCTCTGCTTCCTCTCACTCCAACTATTTTGAAAAATTCTATTGTAGTCCATTTTTCTACAATCACTCAAAATGACAGTTATTTTTAGCTGACGCAGCTCGGTGTGCACATGCAAGCAGACTAGCAATGCACTGTAACAAGTTTATTGCCCATTTATTTGTAATGAATACAATTGCTCTGCCTCATATTCTACACCCCCTGTGTCCTGTGATCCAATGTGATACCGTCATAACGACTACATTCAGCCTGATTGAAATTTGACTTCTCACGTGATGTCTTGTCAGCGCAGACGAGGGTATTTATAATGAAAACTTCAGTTCGGCCTCGCCTGCCAGAACAGAGTTTGCAGGTGAAGATAGACGACCCAACAGTCTTTCTAGAGCCCGTTACAAATGGGATTTGGCTGAAAACGCAGGGGGGATTTAAGGGGAGCTCAATGGTGAGATTATATCAAAGGCATATGAAGCCCTCGTTAGTAGCAGCGGGATAATGGCACGGCTGAGTCTTTCTTTGCAGCCGTCCACGTCGGTATTGTGGTCCTTGTGCGAGTCGGTGGGGACCCAAACCCCCCCACATGTGTCTAACGGCATCATAATGAGCCAAGGCCCCTCATCACCCCCCTCTGCCTGGTTCAGCATGACTCTTTTCATTGTGGGATGATGGGAGATGAATTGGCCTGGACATTGGGGTCTCTTCTATTAAAATACATTTAGAAAACGACCGGGGCCCCGTCACGGCTCTTTAAGGAATGGTTTTAGTTTCTCTTTTTCTCTCCCCAATCCCGCCTAATCGCCCCCTCTCCTTCGCCTTTTCAGACGCAACACTTCTTTTCGTACAGAGGCTAATATCAGTTGGCATGTTTCATAAAGAACCCATCTGCCACAGAAAGTCAAAGAGGGACACCTGGATGAAGAGTGGCCTGTGCCCTGGACAGGTCACAGTTCATAAGTTACTAGGAGTATGACGCTGCAAAAGCTTACGTTTTTATTTATATGTTGTAACTCATATAAAAAGCGAGGTGCCTGACGTTTATCATCACAACTTGTCCATTTTATGCTAAATTAAAACAATCAGACCACATATGCCTGCTGTCCCCCATGTATGTCCTGAACCACTGTGTACTTTGTTTTAAATAGAATGTTTAGCCCCCTATTTTTGCTTTTTTATAATGAGAGATGAGATAGATAGATAGATACAGTAGATAGATAGATTAGATTAAATTATAAACCAGGGGTATTTAAAATGCTTCAAATTCTCTTACTCACACCGCGCGCACTTTGAATGTTCTTTGCGCACAGGAGGCTCTGGGATTATAGATTGCGCTCTGTATAGAATAAGAGTGGGACAGTTGGGGTGCTTGTGTTGGACAGGCTTATGTTGCCCAAGCTTTTGAAAGCAAAGCACACTATACTCCTAAAAGACGGCTCCCTCACGTGACCACCGTGTCAATCTCGCTCGTCTGCACGCGAGTTCAACAATAGTAGCATTAAAGAGAGTCCAGAAAACCCTCTTTTTTTCATGGGGAAGATTAGCATTTTCTTTAACATATAAATATATCTTTAGACCACCTCCCTCCCGTCCAATGGGGCTTACTTCACCATTGTGCGCCCATTTGCTCGAGTGATCGTTGGGTATTCTGGTCTGAGTCGTTCACCCGATCTGCGCCTCTTGCTGGAGCTTATCTCATTCAGATGGAAATTGGCGATTTGGTATCTTTTGTCCCATAGATAAGCTGTGTGGGGAGACATGGGCTCCGGGGCAGCAGGATGAGAACAGAAGTTGCATGTGTTGGTGGGTCCTCTTCAAAGATAATCGATCATCTTCTGGACCCCCTTCAGCCGCGCGCGTTCCCCTCTCAGATGACCTTTGGTTAACTCGCGTGCCATCCCGGGCTGCACTGTCCTAATTGGTTCCCATCACTAATTATCCAATTATCGCTTCCCACTGGAGAGCTGCACTCCAGGCTCCTCAGAGTAATGGCCCCCTCCTCTCCTATTGATAAGACTGATTAGGACTGAAAGCATTCATCAGAGGCAACACAGAAACTTTGCCCCTGTCTTAAACCAGGACACTTCATCCAAAGACCCGTTTTGCGGTTCAAACACTTGTTACATTGAATTCATATTGAAGTGGTACCAAGTCAATTAACCTTTCTGTACTAAGAGCAAAAGGGTCAAATTATAGTCTAAAAAATTTCCATGTGACATTTTACTCAGAATGTGAACAGCCTTAATGACAGTATTAAAACATGAAGCCAAATAAGCACACAAGTTAAAAGACGCATACTTAGCACTTAGCAACAGGTTGGCTCCCCATTCGTCAGCATGAGCATGAAGAAGCATAAGAGCTTTGGAGGTTGAGGGCACCAAAAGGCGGACAATCAACCAATATGTAGGAAGCAGCCGGCAGAGACTGGCACCAGAATGACTCCAGATTGATAACGTCCAGTTACATTAAACATTTATTCTTCTCTATTCTGCTGCTCCACTCTTAGTTAACTTCTGTGCCCATCCATCACCTTCCAGCCCATCTGTTGCAGATAGCTGTAACACTTTGAATAAATTCCTCCCGACAAACAAAACGGTTAACATCTCATGAATACAGTTTTTTACTCTATTGCACAGATTGAGGGGAAAGTTTAGGGCCAGTGGAGTAACCAGTGCAAAGAAATCTGTCCTGGGACACTCCCTCTTCGCTTCCACTTCATTACCAGTATTGTAGTGAGGAGCGCGCAATCTGTGCGGCCGTCTTTGCCTGGCCCAGCCAGCTTTCTAATGAGTTTACAATGATGATTTAAAACTCACATAGAGGCCATTCCTTCAAACTCCCCCCACACCCAATCTTATTCTTTCATTCAGTGGCTTTGTTTAGCTGTTGGCATTTGGGCGTGATTCAGGAGAGGTCACTGGGATACAGATTCACACACACACACAAAGGAACATGTATGGAGGAGCTGGAGAAAGTTTCTGGGTAAAAACTAAGGCAAAACGCAATATATTGACCTTCATTGCTCATGTTTTTCACCACCATCAGTTAAAACATGAATGATTTGATTCAAACATATACGTTTCTTTTAACTATTTTGTTTATTATAAAAAAACGACATGTTTAGGAGCCTGTAAATGAGATATGTTACTTTTATCAGATACAAGATTATTGTACATCCTCAATCAAATGCATCAATTCATTATCAACCCAGATGTACAGAAAGTCACATGGATGTAGTCTCACCAATGTGGTGCCTATATACTTTACACCTAACTTAACATTATTCAGCTAAACTGAGAACAAGATGAAATAGATCAAATTTCTTGTATTTTCGCTCTTCTGTGTCCATCTTTCCAATAACAAAAAAATTTCAATTCAAATTGAGGAATAAATCCTGGCAGATGTGGCATGTCCCGAACAAAGTAGTAAATATGGCTTACATTGTTTTCCTGATGGGTGTGAGTGTCTGTGTACGTTTTGGATTGATTCTCACTGCAAATAATGTGTCTGACAATAATAAACCGAACACTATTTTCCATCCTGATGTGTGTGAAAGGTGAACACATTTTTTATGACAGGAGGTTACAGTGGCAGGGGTGTGATCCAGTGACTGTGGGGCTTGCTGTGCACACCTGATGGGCCCATGTGCCAGATTGTGCCATACTCAGGATGAACAGATGGACTGGTTGAGTTGAGACAAGTGTGGAGGAGGGGAGCGCCAGGCTTCTGCATATCACTCATGTGAAGTTATGTCTAACCCTTTGTTCATCTGCGGCCAAAGCACTTTACTTATCTTCTGCAGTTACATTTGTGAGGTTGTCTTTCAAGGATTTTGGACAAGGCTTTGATTTGATTTGCACTCTTTCATTAATAATTCATAACCCAGTGGTATTTCGAATTATATGGTTTGAGCTTTTATTCCAGTTATCATAGTTATTTATATTGACTTCAGCAAAGGGGGTTGCAAGTGGATTTACATGGTCCCGCCCTGATAATGGGAGCTTTTGGTTGTTCAATCATGCCTATAAGGAAGCAAGTTGCCATCTGTAGTTCTGACTGACGACAGTAGCTCAGTTGGTGGAGCATTGGCCTTTGAGCCTGAAGGTTGTGGGTTCGAGCCCACCACAAGACTTTCTCCACTGCAGTCTGCTGTCGTTGTGTCCTTGGCAAGACACTTAACCTCTGGGAACACCAGGGGTCACAGTGGGACGGCTGCGGCTGTAAAGCGCCAAACTGCTGTTGTGTCCTTAAGCAAGACACTTCCCCCTCATTGCCTAGAATGAGTCTCGTTTTTGTGTGTGTATAGTTGGTGGTCGAAGGGGCCGATGGCACATACTGGTTGCCTCGCTTCAGTCAGTGTGCCCAAGGGCAGCTGTGGCTACAGTAGTAGTTTATCACCACCGTGTATGGAGTGAATGAATAATGACATGTAAAATGCCTTTGAGTGCCAAAAAAGCGCTATATAAAACCGATGAATTATTATTATTAACTGTAGAAGTGAATCCTAATAAGAAGGCTGAGAAGGAAACCTATGGCAAATTTGGAGTCAAAGATCACATGAACGCTTCAAACCACTGCCATCTATGTATTAATACAATAGAAATGTTTGCCATCTGCTGGTCGATTGAAGAACTACACAAAATTGAAGATTAAGATTAAGAGATCCTTTATTTGTCCCACAGAGTGGACATTTCAGTGTTGCATCACCAGTTACAGAACAGTAGGAATGAGGAGCACACAGTTCAAGATAAAGGAACAAAAATCATACTAATTAAAATAAAATCTCTAACTCTATCTCTAACATAATAAAGAAGTAAATCTAAAATCTACATTTGGCATAAAGTACTGCGGATACTGTGTAGTTTCATCTGTGCATGTTAGTAGCATGAGGCTCTGAGATATTGCACCGACACCATTTGTTAGTCCTCATTGCAGAACCTCTCCTTCACACAGCGAGGGTGAATAAGTCTGTCACTGAAACTGCTCCTCAGAGCAGACAGAGTGTCCTGCAGGGGGCAACAGTCATGGGCCAGCATAGATGTTAGTTTGTCCAGGACCCTCCTGTCCCCCACCTGCTGCACTCTAATAGATCCATGGCTGCACTGTGTCCAGGGAACAGCTCAGGACATAGCTGGACTTCCTGATGACCTTGTCCAGCTTCTTCCTGTCACTCTCTGTGCTGCTGCTGCTCCAGAAGACCAATACAACACAATACAATACAATACAAATTTTTCTTGTAAAGCCCTAAATCACAACTGTTGTCATCTCAGACGACTTAACAAAACCATTGAAATCACCAACACAAATCAGAGAATCAACAGTTAAGACACAAAAAAATATATAGAACACACGTTGATAGATGCCCATACAGCCACAGATCACACCGTACAAGAGGCTGATGCCACCACAGAGTAATAGAAGGTCTTCAGGAGTGGCCCCTGCACTCCAAAGGACCTGAGCCGCCTCAGCTGGTAGAGTCGGCTCTGGCCCTTCTGGAAAACGAGTGATAGAACTGTTTTGAGGGTGGGAGTAACTCTAGTTACTAGACCGATTGATTTTATTATATAGCTCCATTTTTGTAGTTTGCAAGTTAAGTATTCCAACTTTAAGATCATATAAACCAGGGCCCTTCAACCTTTTACCACAGTAGAGCTGTGTCTGC